GGGCTCATATGACTTCAGTGCTCTTTCCTGCCTGGGGCAGGGGTTCAGACACGATGATCCTTCGTGGTCCCTTCTGACTCTACTATCTACGACTCTATGAAGTGAAAACAGCTAACAGCACGTGCTTCAAGAGTGAGAAATCTCTCCAACACCAACTGCTGCTGTGCCCCAGCTATCAAGAAGCTGGAAGAAACAGACAGCCTCTTGTTGCCTGTCTGGTGAGAAATCATCGCCTTATAGTTAATTACTGGACTTTGCTTTGGTTTGGACCCACTTGACTTTGAATACTTGTTGTAAATAAAGTCTTTGTCACTCAAACAAGGTGCCATGTCAATCCACAGGCTCGTCTGGAATCCTAGGTTTTTATTTGCTAACAGCCCCAATTTGGTATTGTTGGCCAGACATTTAAGGCTAGTGAAGAAACAGAAATTACTGGGAATGGAAAAGAAAGTTGCAGCTCACTTGTGGAAGGGAAGAGGAAGTAAAAATGTGTAGAATGTAGTGGCTCACCATGACTTGAAAGAGTCAACACTGAGGGGGGGGGGGATTGTGCACAATGGTCATTACCATACATCTTATTCAGATAGGTTCCGCCATCAGTATATTTGCCCAATATAGGTCATGAGTTTTAGTCATGCTCATTACTATCTGCATTTAATCAGATTCATAGTTGTCTTCCATTATTAAGAATATGCTGCTTTTGGCAACAGTTTAATAGACAATGGATTTATTGAGGCTTCCTTGTATACAAACATAAGATGAGGGGCTTCCCCTCACCATACTGATCAGAGGAAAACACCTCATCTTCTATTCGAGTAAATATGGTAATCCTTAGAAATGCACATTATTCAGGCACAAAAGCATTTTCATAAAAAAGAAAAAAAACTTTCTATATACATATATATTTGTAGCAAAAATGTGCTTTCCATCTTATATTTGAAGGTCTAGTTAGTAAAACCTAGAATGGACATGTATAGGTATACCTACATGAGTCTTTGATTAGGATACAAAACAACTGTTCTTATGGTTAACAAACTACAGTCTTAAGGTACAAAGACTGTCAGGAAACATCTAAGTGATTAAGTTGTCAACAAAAAAACCCCACAAAATGAGGATCAACTCTTGTTTTGGATTCTGTGCTTAAAATGTATATTTTCCACATTAAGAAATAAATCCTAATTGTTTGAACATCTACCTGAAGACAAATATTGTCACAAACAATATTTTTAATTATCTATTTTCTACTTTGAAGACATATTTTAGAATTTTATTAATGAAAACAACAACTGTATAGCTTGGTTGCACCAGCAAAATACCATAATTTACAAATGCAGTTGTATGTAAAAAACTCCCTGATTATCACAAACCAATCACTGTATTTCAGGCTAATTTCATATTATAGATAAGAATTTGGTTGCAGCCAGCTATCTCCTCTCTAATGAAAAGGACGGCAATGGATGGTGTCCTACGACCACTGATGCACACAATGGAATCAAGACATTCAAATAACAGAGAGCTTTTGATGCTCTTTTAGCTACAACGCCTGGCCTTATAAGCTGTAACTTTCAGACATTTAGCAGCTGATTAAACACATTCTTAAAATGCAAATTCTCTTATGTAGCTCTCAGTGCAAAAGAGTTACCACTTTAAAAAAAGACATATGTTTTTAATTAGTGTTAACCTCTATCAAATGCTGCAAAACTATACAACACCAGATACAGTTATAGCTTGATGTGATTTTTCATACCTTTAAGCACAGCTTAAAATGAGCTTTTTATGTAATGGTACAATCAGGTTGTGAACAGTGTCCACATGTCTTCTGTTTTACAGGCACTCAAGTATAAATGTACCTGTCACACTTTCTGGGACAGCTATACAAAACAGCAGAAAACAAAACTACTCAAAAAGTAACATTATAAAAATAAACCTTACTATACTTTTCACTAATTATAATCAGCAACTCACAATGAGATAGGGCTATGACATTTTCTACTATTGTAGAAAATTTTCTACTATTTATAAAAGGCCATCTAAATGTTTTAAATAATCTCATTGGTCTGGCCTCTCCTTCCTGAATCAACACAACTTAAGTGGGAAGGGAAAGA